AGCACAACATCTTAAATGCTTCGAATATCTTCAGTGATGCTTCAGTTAAGGTCCATGACTCCACGCCATATAAAAGAACGGAAAATACATAGCATTTTAGTAAACGAACTTTTATTTACAATTTTATGTCGTAAGATTTTTTTCATTTTGACGAAAGCTGATCTTGCCTTCTCGATCCTTATCTTAATTTCCGTCGATTGGTCCCACTGTTCATTTAAGTTTGCACCCAGATAACAAAAGTTGGTGATTTCTGTTATAGGTTGTTGGTTAACTAGTAATTGACCAGATGGTATCCTATTTTTGCTTATAACCATGTATTTGGTTTTTTTAATGTTAAAATCAAGCCCAAACCTGCTACTTACTTCTGCCACCCTGGAGACAAGTGTCTGCAGACCTTCGAGACTGTCTGAAAAAATGACAGTATTATCAGCGTACCTTATGTTGTTCAATCGTTCTCCGTTTATAAGTATTCCCTCGTCTATGTCCGTTAGCGCTAGGTTTATAATGTGCTCTGAATATGTATTGAACAATAATGGGGACAATTTACATCCCTGTCGTACACCTCTTTTATCTTTATATCGTCTGTTAGCTGATCTCCAACTCTAACAGCTGCAGTTTGTTCGTAATAGATATTGTTTATTATACGGCGATCTGTGCTGTCTAGACCAATTGAATTTAATATTTTCATCAGTTCGTCATGTTCTATTCTATCGAACGCTTTCTGGTAATCAACAAAACATACATATATATCACAATCCACGTCTCTACATCTTTGGAAGAGAACTTGTATTGCAAAAAGTGTCTCTCGAGTACCCAATGCATCCCTAAAGCCGAATTGTGTGTTTGTCATGTGTTCTTCACACTTTTGTATATTCTTTTACGTATAATTTTTAAAAAGGTTTTCATGAGATGGCTCATAAGCATAAGGCTTATAAAAATGGTCACAATAGTTCAATTGTTGTTTCTTCAATTCACTATTATCGCCTGTATACACTACCTTTAAACATTTGTTTTTAAGCTTTGTTGCATTTTCTTACTTTTAATTCCCCAATTATTTGAAGTTTATTACGAAGCGAAAATGAGGTGTAACTACTGTTGTTACTTGCAGAACCACTGCTATTGAACAATATTCTTTGTCAATATTTACATATCTCAAAAAAGAGGTTAGTCTTCGTAAATGGGTATATTTATTTAAAAACCCTTAAAAGCACCACATCAAAAAAACAAACGTCTAAACAGTCCATCATCAGGTTTAAATTTTAAAATTGCTAGGTTAAAATGTCTGAGCCACCAAAATACATGGGTAAAAACCTTTTAAATTACATATAGTTGTAAAAGATTACACATCATGTTGTTAAAAAACTGTGATGTTCAGTATTAAATTAAAGATGACTTCAGGTAACATACATGGCTGAATTGAGTTCCAGAGCCGGAGAGTAAACCTCTTAACACGGAGTTATCAGCTGTTAGTCATATTTAATTTAATACTGAACATCACAGTTTTTTAACAACATGATGTAGAATCTTTTACAACTATATGTAATTTAAAGGGTTTTTACCCATTTTTTTTTTGTTGGCTCAGGCATTTTAACCTAGCAATTTTAAAATTTAAACCTGATGATGGACTGTTTAGTCCGAAAACGTTTGTTTTTTTGATGTGGCCGTTTTAAGGGTTTTTAAATAAATATACCCATTTACGAAGACTAACCTCTTTTTTGTGATACGTGGTATACAGCCAGCTACAGGAATTGTTTTCCTTGTGGATTTTATTTACATATCTGATTTTACCTCTGCTTTCCAACAAATCAAATCCAACAATGTCATGTTGATATACGCCACCAATTTAGGTATTATAATTTTTTAACACTTGCAGCTGAGAATTTAATCGTTTTCCTTTGAACTTAAGATTCCATGTACTATCTTGTTTAAGGGGTTCTATATAATCAAGATTAGATAATATAGTACCATATGTATTCTCGTTCAATTTTACAAAACGTAAGTCATTTACATCAAATCGAAAATCATATGATCCACGAGATTATTTACCAAGAGTTTTTGTATCTTGTAAAAGACACTTCGATAATAATCTATTTTCCCGTAAGGTTTCTGTTGCACGATATCCACAATGTTGTAAATGAAGTAATATATCTCCGCTGGTGAATAAATTATCAAAAAATACCCAGTGGCTTGCGGGTACAGAAACGCAATCTAACAGATTAAGCTTTACTTTTGAATCTAAGGTCCAATCTTCGCAATCTTTTTGCCAGTCTAAAAGTCAAAATTAGGGAAATTGTTTCAATCCATGATGACCATGGTATTTCACAATCCTTTCATCAATAGATAATTCTTTTTTGAAAACTCCATATTGAGATGTCTTACTTTGAATCATCTGTCATCTATACATTACATTAATTTTTGCATAGATTTTTTATAATATATATACCAAGATCTTCATCCTCACTCCAATAATGCAGCTCAGAGGGTACTTGATAATATCCAGAGAATAAAAGAATACCAATGAATGCTTTGAAGTAATTCCAAGAAAACATAAAACTAGGATTATTTTTACTATCTGCATATCTAATTATTTCTTTCAAAATGTGTTACAATAAATCATTTTGGAAAAATTATTCTAAAATTTCAATAGTAGTTTATTTGCCAAATTTTCATGATTTACATTATATATTGATCTTTCAGGTGGAAGTTTTGTGTAAACTGGTAAACTTTCATTTAAATTACTCTTCTGTAAGATAACGTCTTTTTGATTTACCTTTTTTCGATACTGTTCTTCAGAATAATTGGTGGTGCAGGTTCGTTAACAATAAATAGACTCATCGAGCGATAAATAGACATCATTCGCTTTATCTTCATCTGTTAAAGACTCAGGTTCTGGCGGTAGAACTATTACAACAATCAAATTTTATTACATATAAAACTTTTTATGCAAATCACAATAAACAAATGTAAATTTAAAGAATACACGATTTTTACACGGACAAATTCAACTGAATACTGAAATGTTGCATGTTTTGATAAGGCTACTCTCAGAGTCATATTTATAGGACAGTAAATCAAAACTAATAACGACGATTCAACAATAGATATTTCAAATATTTATTTATGAATATGGCTTAGAAGAAATATTACTCAACAAAAACAATTCAGAGAAAGATAAAAAAGTGCCGATATGAAATTTTTATTTTTAACCCGTCATTGTTTGCGTATCAGAAAATGCCGCGATTGTTCGCCTATGAGCGCTGCGCTCAGTCACCATTTTCTTCTCATTTAATTATATTTTATTAAGATATTAAAGATTTAATGAAACTTAGTCGGTTGCTGGTGCTTTAAAAATGTTATTAGTAATAAATAACATGAATGTATATACTTTTTATTAATGAAATAATACATATACAAAAAATTGTATAACATAAAAGAAATGTAAATACTGTATTCACTCTCATAGCATTTATTGCGGCATATTTGACATATTGTAATTATATGTTCACCACAAATAGGTTTTAAACAATCTGCACAACTTGAAGTGGTTTTTCTATTTTTTCTTCGAGAACAGTAAAAACATTTGACTGTATCTTTAGTTTCTGCACTTGCTACTGAGGTTTCTTTATCAGGAAGACCTGCTTGGTGTAATTTGTAATAATACTGACATAATATGTTGTTATTGATGCACGACTTATCAGGTGGGGTCTGATGAGATCTGTACTAATTTCTCTTAGATATTTACGGCGTTCTGATTTAGTATTAGTATTGCTATAATAACTTACCTGACTATTTATTCCTGCAATATTCATCACTGAAAAAAAAAGAATGTAAGTGGCCATCGACAACTTATTCGAGAAACGGAGTAACTACATTTCATCTGGTCCACAACATCCACTGCTCCCTTTGTCGTATTATAGAAGGTTATAACCTGCGGCTTAAAGTTTTAACCCTATTCTTAATCAATTATGTCATCATCATGAAACGTAGATAACATCAGAACATTTTTGTTTTTCTTGGGAACGTATGATAGTAAAAGACAGTCTTTACCATAACCAAAAATACTGCTCTTTAGAGGTCTTCCTTTTGTAGCTACAAAAAGAGGAGGAATTTGTGCTTTATTCTCTCTCGGGATTTCTATTAGAGTTATCCTGTAGTTATGTAGCAAGTCAGTAGCCAGTAGAATGGACGGAAACCAGTTGACGCAATTAATGTTGCGTCCAGTATGGGTATTTGGTTCTATCATACATTTAATCACATTACTAGGATTATGATCTATCTCAAAGGGACCTTCTGGATGCTTTTCAGTATATATTTCCAACTTTGCTGTATAAAAAGTTCAACTTTTGCGCGAATCAACAAGTGCAAAAAATTTTTACCCTATATTTTGCCGGCTTACTGGCCTAAATTTTCACACTGGTCGATATCACTGTCTTCTTCATCTTGTAAACCAGGTTTATTTTCATTCTCCTCTGCTTCAATTTCATCTAAACACGCAAAAAGTTGTCTCTGTCGGGCTGAATCCATAATAAAAATCGCAAGTAGTACAATTATATCTCCGCAGATTATGACAGGAGAAGAAATAAATATTTAGTAGTGGAGTATTTATGCTTGCCGGCAATATTTTTACACGTAAGTGCCTCCTAAATACTATCATTAGAGATTACAATAAGTCTGAATGCCGGTTGTTTTCTGAATACTTTTGTAGTCTTAAAAATAAATGCAACTCAGCGCTGCGCTCACCACGCGAACAATGACGGGTTAAATAATATATAAATGCTAAAAGTCAGCAAATGTGTCCAATGTTTATGTTTTTATTGAAAGGATATTCGAAATATAATACAACAAAAATTATATTTTAGTTTACTGCAGACTAAAATATCTATGGAAATTTTTTCTTCAACTTTTAAGGGTTAAAAAAAAATAAAAAATTCAGTGTCTTATAAATAGGACGCTTCTATAGGTGTTAAAACTTTTTTTAAAAAATATATTGAATTCCTTACCTGCCACGAGAAAAGTTTAAATATGTATGCATTTGTCACAATTGCAAAAATTATAATAAATAATATCAACAACGCTGAGAATCCTTTCATAATTTTTACTAAAAAGTGGGAAACCTTTTTTAAGTATCTTTGTATTAAACACCCAATTGATAAAGGTACGACTAATGCTACAACATAAGTCATTATCTCTACATAAGGTACTTTCAACTGTGCGTTGTCGAAAATTACTCTGCCTGCAAGAAGAAATAGTAGTTATTTTATTTTCCAAATTATTTATCAGAGATATCATTACTTTAATGAAATTAAAATAAATAAATAAATAAAATAGTTATCACCCTATAAGTGCACATGGAATACGCGTTCGAGGAGCAAAAGAAACATTACGATCTAAGGCCAAGACACTGGCGGCCATTTCCAGGAGATCGAGTCATGAAAAAGGAACACCATCTATCATCGGCTAGTGCAGCTTTCACCAGCAAACTAGCGCCAAAGTACTCAGGACCATACATATAGTAACATCAGTGATATCACTAGTAATAATAAAACTGAAATTAGCCGATAGTAGTAGCCGCAAGCAGATGCCGGCACATGTAAAAGATTTAAAACCATGGGAGGGGGGAAATGTTACTACAGAAATCCAATCCCCACCACAATCAAACGGTATTTAAGTGGCAATGCTAGCAAGCAAAATTCAGTTCATCCACATCAAACATGGAAGACGTACTAGAGATACCGGAAGAGATGACCCCGCTGGGAACGCCAGAGAGACCCGGACTGCCCGTGACACCAGGGAAAGACGCGGAGAGGATCCTGAAGAGGTTCCCTGAACTATTCGGTATACCACCAACGCCACCAAGGAAAAAGAGCGTACCTGATACTCCAACAGGACCAGAAACCCAATCCGCGTCCACTCCAGGAGAACCTGAACCCGGGAAAAATTCCGATCTCATAGAAATCGTCCCAAAGCACCTGATCGAGAGGGGAACCAAAAGATACCAGATATGGTGTAACAACGGGAGGAAGACTGTGGTAAAGATACAGCGAAGGATAGATGACATAACAAAGCTGTAGACGTCATACACAAAAAAAGTATGTTACTTATTTTTTCCCAAAGAGAAGAGGGTGTAACGATGTGCTGAACGTCCTACAGCAACAGCGTTCAATAGTTCTAACCGTGGGAGTGTCGATAATTACGCATCCACTTCCACGACAAGACGACGAGGTGGGGTCCGGAGCGGCTATTTAAAGCGAGCTGCTGGCGGAGTAGAAGAGAGTCTTGTGGCCAACGCTCTAGGCTCCCTGGCTCGCTAGTGCATTGAATCTGCGAGCCAATCCGGACAGAGAGACTTCCGCAGTGAGGATTATGCTCTGTCCTTAATCAAGCAGAACCCGTGGGTATAGTTGATTGAACTTTACCGTCAACTCTGACTCAGAGTATAACGTGGATCTGCACAATCGGATATTTTGATTGCGAGAGAGCTTGGCGCTTCCGCTGGACCGAGGTGGAATCGAGTATAAGTCTGCGTGCGATCGAATTCGCGTATTTCATTTTCTGTTAGTAATAATAATTTTTCTTTTACAGACGTCCGCCGGGGAATTCACTCTCTCGGGATCCAGGAGGGGATATAGAATATATATTTTATTTTTATTTTTGTACATACGTTGGAATTAATAGATTTATTTTTATTTCAACCTATGTTTTACTGAGTCTGTCGCCTCGAAAGAGCTACCTGTCACAACACAAATGCAAGAATAGGACAAGCGCGAGTTTTCATTACCACTATAAAAAAGGTATAGCTTACACAATGTCAGTAGCCATAATGAATTACGACTGATATACTTAGCAGTAGCAGTAAACATGACAGTTACTAGCACCAATTTTTAACACAATATACACAAGGTAACCTGGACCTCTCCTGATGGAAAAATAACGAGTCGGATTGATCACATCTGCATAGATTGAAGACATGGAACAGACGTAATAAACTGCAGAAGCTATAGAGGCGCAAACATAGACTCAGACCATTGTTTAGTGATCTCAACATTGAGGCTTAGAATTTCAAACGTCAGAAAATAAAATAAAATGGATGGAAAGAAATGGAATGTGGAAAAGCTGAGAGATGCTACAATTGCTGAACGGTACTTGGAAAACATAACCAACAGGCTAAGGAATCAAAATGTAAATGAAGAAGACCTGAAAGATATAGACTCCTACTGAACCAGATTAAAGGAAGATATTAAAGTATGAAAGATGAAATGGGAACAGAAACATATGCCAGTAAAAATCATTAGTTTGACCATAATTCCAAGAATGCAACAAAAGAAAAAAGTGAGGCATACAGCATTCTATAAGAAAGTTAACATTAACAGAAAAGAGTTCAAGGCAACTAAAAACCAATGCAGAAGTCCAAACGGTGACCTAATAACAACAAGAAAAGATATATTGAATCTATGGGTGAAATACTTTAATCGGATACTTAATATAGAGGAAGAAGAATAGATGGGAGGTAAAACCGGTTGTCGTAATTATATGTTGAAACCACCAACAAATCATGATGTTAAAGACGCAGTTAAGAAACTAGCCAGAAACAAATCACCCGGAATAAAAAAATCTCCTAGCTGAACTATATAAAGAAGGTGGCCACGATACCATAATGGCACTACAGCAGCGCATGAACACAGAAAACCCTACCAGTGATTGGAATATTGGAATACTTTGCACTATACACAAAAAAGAAGACTTCCTGGAATGTTCTAACTACAGAGGAATCACGCTTCTAGACGCAGTGTAGAAAATATTCTCCACAATATCAGGCTCGTTTCGGAGCTGGTAAATCGACAATTCATCAGATTGTAAACATGATACAAATTTTTGATTACAGACTGGAGTATGGTATACAAACTCATCACATATTTATAAATTATAACGCAGCCTACGACTGTCTAAATATAAGAGAAATAATCAGAGCAATGTTCAATCACAAATTAATCCCTTAATTTGTAATCTAACATTATTCTTAACTTCTTAACCTTTTATAGTTTCACCGTGTATAATTGAAATATTGTGAAATATATCGAGTAATATTTTAATAATCAGAGTCCATTCACCTGCAAACCTACACTTAATAAATTGCCAATAATATATTTCCTAATGAAACTTCCTAAGTGTTGCAATAACCGCCTAGATTAAATTGTATTGTAAGCTCATAGTTCAAAGTTTGTTAGTGCCATTATCCTCTGTGCTGAGGTATACATTATTTGGGTAATTATAAATTGGGTATTTTGGCAGTCTATTGTCGGAAATTAATTAACCAACAACTAGAGTGTAATTATCAGTAACTGTCAATAAAACTATAATTTTCACTCCACATTTCAACCAATTTATTTACCATCGTCGATCGAGAATAATGGGACAAAGGGCCATTAGAAAACAATTCGATCCTGATATTTACATCAAATCTGACCATTGGCCCCAAAAGGGCGTTAATTGGATTGGATCTTCGAAGGAGACGACCCTTAGCGACTTGAATAGCTGTTCCCCAGTTCCGTACAAGATCTGAATAGCAGTATCTCTTGAGAAAGATGGACAGGATTTATACTCCCGATGAATCTGCAGAGCTCATACTTAAAGGTAGTAAGTCTAGCTGATTTACTGTATATCACCTAACTTCAAACGATGTTCTGTTTCAAAAAGTGGTAGCCCAAATCATATAAGAAAATGCAAAATTCGGATGAAATATCAGGCAGAAAAATATCCAAAGAAATTAAGGAGCCATTCAAAGTGTCCAAGTACACGCCGTTTCTCTACAACAAGGATACTCCGGGAAAAGTGGTCGTAAGCGAATTCATTGGAGGAATAATAACTAAAATCTACCAGTCCTCCGGAACTACCAACAAAGAAAGATTATCGTTTGGGGAAGGTATGTTTAGGTTTTTATTTTACCAACATTATTTTAAACATTGATGCTTTATTTTTCTTAAAGATAGGCGACATAAAAAAGTATATAAAATACACTTGTCGGTTACTTACCTTTGAGACCAAAACAGAAAAAAATTAATGGTTTAGTAGCACGCACACACACACGCACCCACACGCACACGCGCACGCACACACACACACACACACACACACACACACCAGAATTTAAATTGTGATTACATATATTTACCTAGTGTGAAAATCCATAATGGCATGAAAGCGAAAGCTGCTATGGTACTAGCAGCTGTCATTGTGATTGATAAACTTATGTTTCCTTCAAGAAGTACGGCCCAAACATTTGACGCACCTCCAGCTGGTGACACACCCGTGAAAAAGAGACCCAACTGCATTTCGGGGGTGTTTGGAAACAATATTACTCCTAAGGTATAACTCAGCTAAAATACATGAAACATAATATTAATTGATATTAAGTGATAAAAAGATTTTTTTTTAGATTTAGATCTTTTAAAAAGATTAGACGTTCCTTGCTCCTACTAATGATATGTACATCATCTGCATGTGCAGTAATTTGTACTGATTTTGTATTTATATGGCCAGTTACATTGGTTTTGCTGATAACTGACTCAAGAACTAGGTTGGACAGCATGATTGATATTGCGTTACCCTGTCTCACTCCCACATTGATGTGTATGTTGTAGCATTTGCAATTCATTGATTTTTTTGGTGTATATTGAAATCCCCTCGTATATGTGGTATATTGAGGTCCCCTCATATATGTGTGAAAAATCGTAGAATATTTTTAGTGTATGTTTGTTCCTATCGAGCGTATAAAAACTCAAATATGCTTTCGATTCTTTCTTAGGTCGGCCAAGGTAATATAAACCATTTTATAGTTTTATATAGGTAAAGAAATAATAAATAAGACTTACTCACAATCAATTTAATTTAACTATCAGACGACCGGTTTCGCTTTCTACAATATGCAAAGCATCTTCAGGTCTCGATACAAAGTTAAACAAATGATGCCGGTACTCTATTAATAGATGGATGGTAGAACATGTTTGAAACTACTTTATATTGTTGAATGGAGAACTCAATACTATTATTGCAGTTGTTTGACAGTAAACGGGAAGTTCTTGAGGAGATAGACAAGAACTATGAACGATCAAACAACTGCAATCTCCTCAAGAACTTCCCGTTTACTGTCAAACAACTGCAATAATAGTATTGAGTTCTCCATTCAACAATATAAAGTAGTTTCAAACATGTTCTACCATCCATCTATTAATAGAGTACCGGCATCATTTGTTTAACTTTGTATCGAGACCTGAAGATGCTTTGCATATTGTAGAAAGCGAAACCGGTCGTCTGATAGTTAAATTAAATTGATTGTGAGTAAGTCTTATTTATTATTTCTTTACCTATTTGAAATGGACTCACACAAGCAACACATTCATGATTTATAGTTTTATATTTTACGGCTGTTAGTTCCCGAAGTACTGCGTTTTGAGATCAATAATTTGCGTTATAGAAATAGGATATCTACGTTGTTTCGTTGTGTTTTGTTATTTCAGCGTTTGTTTGTTTTCAAATTATATGAACGAATTTTTAAGTTCGTCATTCTTACTTGGGTCGCTGTAGGTGCAAGTGTAGATTAATTTTTACTTGGTTCGCTCTGTGGCCGCAAGTATGGATCCGCAAATTCACCGTCGAATTTGTGTTTTTCTGTTTTCGGCCCCTTCTGTGAAAGTATGTAGCGATGGAAAATGATTTGTGCAGTACACTGATGAAATTTTGAAGCAGTGTATAGGATGTCCCACCAACTTTGTTGCCGTTTTCCTGTTTGATCCAGCCCATCCACATCAGGTCTTCATTCCAGATTATGGAAATGGTTTCCTTTTGTTCCAGTAAGTTGCTGTTTAGTTTTCAGAAGTTTGAGTGCATAATTACTAGTGAAAATCAAGGTAACATTTAATGTTTTAAATTTTAAAGTAAAGACAGACATTTTCTTTGCTAAAGTCATAATAGCTTTCATTGTTTAAAAAGATAATTTTTTTATTTGTAATAATTTTTATATTTGCCACAGTTTATACGTCAGTAACATTAGTAAGTTTTTGTAGCATCTCCTGAATTTGTAAATTAGTAGAACACATGTAAGTTTTTGTATTTTGCGACTATCGTGGTAATATTTTTGTATTTTTTTTTGAGCATTCTTGTGTTCTCTATGTTTTGTAACTGTGGTAAAACACTAATAAATGTTAAAGTTTGTTTTCTTAATATTTTGTTTATTTTTTTAACTAACTCTTTTTTGAGTTTTATTTGAAAAAGATATGTTTTTTATGTTTTGATTTTTTAATAATTATTGCTTTAGTTACAACTAGTTGTTGTACTAGTTATAATTAGGCACCTCAAAGTGGCGCTCTATATAAATTACTAGAGGTGTTTCCTGTTTCTTTTTATTGTGTTTGTCCCAAGAGATTAATGATCCCTTTATTTCATTTTTTGTTGCCCCAATGTAACCCCCTTATCTTTTACTTATCCACGACCCCAGCTCTCCTAACAAACCCTGAGTGCCGTTCGCACAAGTAGCGATTATTTTGCTTGCCTTATCTCCACCCCCTTAGTTTCAGACCCCAATTTTATACCCCATAATCTTACCCCGTGTGGTAAGCAAAATATATTCGTTACAATGTGTAAGTGTATGTGTATGAGTATGTGCCTGTGTTTGTGTGAATCAGCACCTCAAGGTGTTTTCTACAGTGGTGCATGTTTAAATCGACAAGAAATCTAAGTTCCTGTAGTTATGTAGTTACCATGTATCATAAAGGATTTTTATTAAATTTTTTGGTACATGTTTGTTACAATTATGATAAATTATATTGACCCAAGTAGTGTGTATTCTTTCCTCTCGTCTTTAAGTTTTTAGATTACGATTTCATTTCATGACATCACAGTGATAACTATATGTTGACGTTGATATACAATTGCCGCGTTACCAGAACATTTAAGAAAAGAACAATGAATTTTGGTTTTCTTTTAAAAATGATACAATTTAGTAATGTACAAAGCATTATTTTGATTTTGGTTTGCTTAACAGAATTTAAAAGTAATGATGAACTGATTCATTCAGTATACAATAATGTGTACAGTATTATATACTAACTAAAAAAATGCCGTCTTTAATTTTATTTAGTAACTCACCCATTCAATAAACTTACCAAAGGCATTACGACAAAATGGCCAAATAGTCCTATTGCTGGCCCAATTGGTTTCTTCAGAATTGTCTTAAGTTCTTTCCAGTCTAAAGCACAACCAAAATTAATATACAAAATACTGATTAATGTAGCCACAGAACCGGTAAACATTTTATCAATAAACCGCTTTTTTCTGACAACTATAACATCCATGCTGCTGTTTGGCGTTTTAGTTCCTTGTATTTTTTTTCTACAGGAAACTACTGTTTTACCTGTAACATATAGAACAGATATATAATAATACTAGTGTTTCTACAGAAATATCAGTATGATCAAAAATATATGATACAATTATAACCTAAAAGCATATCACTTTGCATTTATTATGATGTATTAGAATTTATTTCCGGTCAGCTAGTATAACTAATTTTCGCTAAATACTTGCTTAACTAACATTATCGTTGCACCTATAATGGTAAAATAATTAATCAATTAAATACAGATGATTTAACAACTACATTCATCTTCTCAAAAAAAAAGAAAAAAAAATGGGTGTGGCAGTCCAGTGGGACTGTCGGTAGAAGTTATACTTCTATACACACCTTCGCCGTTAAAAATTTATATGGGAGTTAATCTGCACAATCATTACATATGTAATGCTATAGGTAAGAGAGTGCATAAAGAGAAAAATAATTAGTTATATAGATATATGGTGCATCGTTTGCTGTATACAGTGATGAGTGCCTTACCACCCGGCTTTTTAAAGTAAGAGAACACAGTTACCTTGTGTAATAAAAAGAGATGAAACTCGTAGAAATGGGAAATAATCGATAGAAACCTATAATTTACATTACATTACATTAGACGTTAGCTTCGAGCTAAATCACCTCAGTCATAATTATTATGTGTGAGGTCGTATATGTGACGTATTTCCATTTTTTAATTTCGCATAAAGTAAAAACTGATTGACCACAATAAAGCAAAAATGTGAATAAAATAATTTAATTAATAGTGATTATTTAATCTCAAGTTTTAAATTATTAACCAAGAATAATTTCTACTATGATTTGAGGAGTTTCATACACTCTTGTCACGGAATAATTAGCAAACCTTCGTGGATTAGTGGTAAGAATTCGACATTGCGACGCAGACGATTAGAGTTCAAAACCCACATGTGGTTTTCTTTTTTTTTAATAATTTGAAATTATGCAGAGATCGTTTTGCTTTGAATCACTAAACATTTATGTCAGTCGTTACTAGTATTAGAAGTGTTTAAAGTTAAACATAAATATCTTATTGAAAAAATAGTGTCGTCGTACTTTCGAAAATAAAGTAAAAATTCTTCAAAATTAAAAGAACGTAGAATGTTTAAATAAGTAAAAATTTTACAAAAATAAAAAAATATTGTAAATAAACGTATCTACAATATGTTCAAATAAGCCTTCATTAGCAGCAGAAAAATAACCCAAACTGTCACTAAAGAATTATAAAAGTCTGATGGATCAGAGTTCAAGGTACGATGTATTCATGCTGGCGCCCAGGGTTTAAATCCCACATGAAGTTTTTACTTTTTAAAAAATTTGAAATTATGCAGATATTATATCGTTTTGCTTTTAAATCACTAAACATTTATTTCAGTCTTTATTAGAAGTATTACTAACATGTTTCGTCTAACATTAGTTAATGTTTCTGGACTAATACCTCTCATTGAATCAGAGATCTTTTCTCTTAATTCTTGGAGAGAATTAGGCCTATCGTCTTCAATTCCATATAATTTGGACTTGATATATCCCCACATCAAAAAATCACAAGCTGCAAGATCAGGTAATCTTGCAGGCAAAAAATATCTCCGTGACCACTAATCAATCGATTAGGAAAAGTCGCAATGATATATTCACTGACGATGCGAGTATTATGTGCAGCACAACCATCGTGTTTAAACCATATGGAATCGAAAGGAATTGGTAAATTACGAAGGGCTGGGACAATTTGATTTTGCAGAAGTTCCAAGTATTTCCGCCCAGTCAACAGACCGTCCATAAAAAATGGACCAATGACATGATTTCCTATTATGCCTCCCCAAAAATTTACTTTTCGAGGACGCTGGGTACGAGTGACATAAATCTGACGAGGATTTCCTCCTCGAGACCAATACCGAGCATTCATTGAATTGTGACGGCCATGCAATGAAAACTTACATTCATCGATGAACAAAACGTTCTCTAAAAAATGTTCATCTTGATGTGACACTTCCATTGCAGTTTGACAAAATTCTAAACGTCTGTATTGATGCAGAGGGAATTGTTCGTTGGATTTATGAAGTTTGACGGTATCCATGTCTTTTCAAAATTTTACCTACTCAAATCTTGAAATTCCTTATTGTTCTCAGAGACGAGATGTTGATTGGGTAGGATTTTGCTCAATACTTGAACAAATCAAAGTGTCCCTTAGTTCCAAATTTGGATTTACCTCCCTTCGTCTACGAACTCCTCTTGGAGCGAACACGGATCCATAAGTAAAAAAATTACGTATAATAGATTGAATTGTTGATCGTGTTGGAGCCGGCCTATTTGGAAACATATTTACAAATTATCTAATCATGTTGCCTGAGAATCCATTCACATGCCAGACAACAATTTGCACTTTTCCTTGGCCGCTAAAACTATTTTCACGAATTGTTTTTTCAATAAAAAGTTTCTGTTTACCGTGAAAAAACACTTCTCGATATGTTATTATTTGTTGGCCTAAAGGCTTCGCTTCGCGCGCATCCATTCCAACGTTGTCAATTGTTTTAAAAATCATTACCTGTACAAAGGAATTGATATTAACATTGAGAATTTAGTGATGGATTTGACATAAACAGTCATTACAGTCGTAAACAGAATTATTTTGTATTTTCGTTTTATAACATTGGAATAAGAGTAAATTATAAATAATGAGTTTTTCAAGTTTCAGTAAAACAAAAATTTTATCCTTGGTGTGAATTGAACTCCAATCTTCTTGTCAATAGATCACGTCTCTAACTATTACACCAATTCCACATACCTACCTTTAGTTTAGTCAAATATTTCAGTTTAGTTATTTTTATTATTAAGTTAAAGATTTATAATTTAAAATCGTTACTAATTAATGTTTTTTACTATAATATATCTTAATTTATTCAATCATTTATTCTAACATCTGAAATTATTAAAAAAATATATTTTCGAGGTCATCCGTATAATTATGACGGAAGTCAAATAGCCACGTCTAAGAACTAGCTTTATCTCGTACTATCTCACAAATTACTGTGACTTCTATCCTTTCCGCTATTTTGCCCGGTTTTAAAGCAACTTTAAACACTTCTAATACTAGTTAGCTCGAAGCTAACGTCTAAAGGTGTGAGACTATCGATAGTGGTAATGTAATGTAATTTATAGGTTTCTATCAATTATTTCCCACCTCTACAGTTTCGTCTCTTTTTATTTCACAAGTAAACTGTGTTTTCTATCTCTTACGTTAAAAAGCCCGGTGGTGACACTCAGCACTGTATAAACATTTGACCTGTAATAGGAGTATAGTAAATATAGGATTGTATCAATATTTTAATAAACATATATATTTTTATTTTCACATATGTATAAAATGAGTTGAATGCAAAAAACTTTTTTTACACATACTGTGCAGTAAAATTCATTGTTTATTTTGTTATTAAAATATAAGTTACAATAAATAAATACACTGAAACTTAATTCAATATAATAATACAATATAAATTAAAATATAATATTCGTAAGTATTTAAAACTGCCAATATACAAAACTTACTTTACGAAGATAAAAATAAAATACCAACAACTCGGATTATGTTGTAAATTTTCATTTTATTTTAAAATTTAGCATTTTTGCGCATATTACATATATTTAATAAGATTAACGTGAGGTTTTTAAATATTTCAAAAATAAAAAAGGAAATTCATAATTGGGATTCGAACTCACAAACACCAGCGTATGAACCAAACACGTAAAGGATTTATCCAATTAGACATTAGTCTAACGGATTTCAAAATTGACAGTTCTCGGTCAAACAGTGATTATTTTGAAATACAAAAGCCTAAAATAATTATAAACGTTTAATAAATAATACAAAACATATCACATAAATAATAATAATATTAATACATATTATATTATATTATATATATATATATATATATATATATATATATATATATATATATATATATATATATATTTTACGGCATAAAGTGGACTCCGCCCATGTTAAAATTCAGGTTTAGGTGAGCTCCGTGGTCAAGTGGACACCGATATACGGAGCTCACTTGACCATTCCATAATATTGGCTCTGTCGATTCGTCAACATGTATAGTTTCATAATTTATAAAAAAAATTTGGAGCCCATAATTATCCCTGTATCATAAATGTATATCGCTTATTTCACGTGTATATATTATAGGGGTCGTTCAGATCTTTTTCACTGTATATTGGAACCATAAGTATATCGGTTTAAGTAAGCTCTGATAGTTTGGAAACTCTGCTATAAGATGTATAATTCTCGCGTAAAGTCTGGACGGTTTATATGGACTCCTTAGTTTTGTTATCATTCATACGCATTACAGTGTGTAACAGATATGTATACTGTTAACTACCTGTTTTTGGTAGGTACGAGTTCTCTAAAAATAGCTTTATATATACAAAAGGATTTCATTACCAAATTGGATTTTGTTTCATATGCTGAAATTTCCTAATGTATTTTGTTAACGTGAATATGTCTTCATAAGTTTTATTTAAGAATCCGATTAATAAGAACTTCTTTTATTTCATCCATTGTTTTATGATATCTTGTATACAGCTTTTTTATTATTTTATTTCTGGTTTTATCTATGTACTACATATAAGTTTGGATAAAAGGTTATCTCAAAATAAATATTTAAGTGCTAAAATAGATATTTTTGTGTAAAAATGGGTAGTAGTGAACAAAAAAAGAAAGAATTTATCTAACAAGCATTATACCACTTCTCCAATATTACATACTTCTGAATGTTTTATTTTCTATTTAGGGGTAATATGTTATCAATATAAGTGGAGTTAGTTTCAAATTTGCAATGATCTTTATAAGTAAAAGCTTACTGGCTATACTTAACATGTTTAGTTCAAATAAATAAACCTTGTCCCTTCAGAAAAGAGCGATTTGAATGGAAAAGTCAACTAAGAAAGTGTGATGAATCTTATACCACCCCACATTCACACAGGTTAACCGGTGTTTGCAGGCA